GGATAATTAGGGAAAGGAGACAGTTTTACAGTGGAGAAAAGCATGATACTTTTATGAAAAAAAATCTTCTTTAAAGATTTTTGTCCTTAATCTAATACAATTATTTGGCTAAATTCCATAAAACCACCTTATAGTTATGATTATTTTCAAAAGACCACCGATACTTTTTTGTTGGAGTTATCTAATCCTAATTATCTCTTTGAGACGAGTTGGCTCCCTCCGGTATCCTCACGAGCTTCGACTCTTTGAGCCGGCTATAGGACTAATCCGGAGTGCGGGGGAACAGTGATGGTTAAAGGTTCAGCCCCTTCTCCAAGAATGCATTCAGCGAGAATCGAACACATATCCAACCCCACTAACTCAGCGCCAAATTATCAACTGAGCTGCACCCATTGGGTACCACCCGATACTTTCAATCCAAATAATTAACCCCATTATACTATTAAATCAGAACAATTAAACATATTTAATAATAATAAGACGAAAATATCCCTATCCTACACCATCACCAGTACAGTTATGAAGATTTAAAGAAACCTGGTTAATTTGCATTTAGGAAATCTGCATTTAAAGGAAATATATGCAGCATGAGTTTGGAATTGAAACAATGACCCAATTAATTTGTTTGGAATAAGGTTGGCGAGCCTGGTGAATCTTCAATTTGCCCCTTTATTTTGAAAAGGGTTCTTGTGTTCATTTAAAAGGGTTAAAAATAAACCACGATGTTAGAATTTTGAGTAAATGTATGTTCTTTTCTTTGGTTTATTTCATTGTAGAAAAATATCCACATTTGCAACGGCTTACTTTGAGACAGGGTTCCAACACCCATTCTAATTGAAAAGGCTCGGGTCAAAGGAAACGTTAATTAAGTATAAGAAATAGTTTAGGCCCTCAGCTCTAAGATGCAACATATCGAGTTTACTTTCGGTAAAACAAATTAATAGATATTCTATCATCTCCCTAGTTTGCATAGTTATCAATTGCATTAATTCCATTTTGCTGCACTATTGCGCCTTTATGCTGCCCCGTGCAGAAGATAATAAATTGATGACGTAAAGCAAATGGGTTGGTGTTGGGGTATGTATAAGGGTATTTTTGTCTTAAATTTATTAAATATGTTTAATTGTTATCATTTAATAGTGGAAGGGGGTAATTGTTGGAATTGAAAATGTAAGGTGATTTTTTGAAAATGACTCTAAATATAGGGTGGTTCAATGTAATTTTCCCCAATTATTTTTATGGGAAAAGTATTTTTCCAGTTATCGGAGATAAAGTTATCTTTAGTGAGCTCAAAACGACGTCGTTTTGGGTTATAAGATTAAAAAATTATAATCACAAAGACTAATATAACCCTGCAATATATTATAATTACAAAAACACATTGATTTTCGTTCCAAAACGACGTCATTTTGAACTCACTGGAAATAATTTTATCTCCGGTGACTGAAGAAATATTTTACCCTAATTTTATATAGAGAAATGCAAAGATAATGTTACAGAAAAATTACTGTAATTACTTGCACACACAATGAAATCATGGGCCCCACAAGTTTTTTTTTTTTACTTTTCTTATCTCACTTTCTCTCTCTTATTTGCTTAGTCTGTAGGAAAATTACTCTTGTTTTCTGTAACATGATACAAACATAACCCTTTTATATAATATAATAGTCACAGAGTTTAATCAATTAGAAAAAATTAATTTAAATGTATCGTCAATATATCAAAATTTATTTTTGTAAAAAAGCCAATATGATATACTTAATGATTTTTTTTTTTTTTTGGATACATGATATACTTAATGTTGAGGTGTAAAAATAAAGTTCTATAAGAACAATATCTAAAATGTTTCTCAAAAGTGTTAATATTGCAGACCAAATAAAAAGTGAAAATGACGCAACCTTTTAATTGAGGATTTGAGGTAACCGAAAGAGATTTATTTAGCTTTCATTCTCAATATAAGAGTTTAATCTTTTTGTTTTTATTGCAGAATTTTTTTTTTTTATTACACTCACATAAAAAGTGAGTGGTTTGGTTTCCATTAATTTTTTTTTCTAATAATGGAATTTATTTATTTTTATGTGAGTGTGACAAAAAAAAATTTACAACAAAAACAGAAATATTTTTCTCTCTATTTAAATACTTAAAGTTATAAAAAAATATTTTTGTGAATTTTTTAATTCAAGCATGAATGAGTTGCGACAAGTTAATTTGAATATTTCTTAACTGCAATATCAAAAATCGAAAAATACTAAACTTTTTAACCTAGGTCAATGGTTTTGCCAGAGTATTCATGTAAATGATAAACCATTATTATCAATTTATGATTTAGATTAGCTGGATATATATTGGTTCCTTTTGAAAATCTAAAATCTCAGTTCGAGTAAGACCAACTACTATACCATATAGGTATCATTTGTTTTGAAAGTAAATTGGGTCAGGGAAAAAATAGAAAAAGTTTAATGGCACAATAGCAAAGTAAAAATAAAGGTTGTCTAAAAAAATAAATAAATAAAAGATTGACTCAATTATAGGGTTCAATTTTTGCTTGTTGATAAATTATTAGTAAATGTCGGTATAAATTACCGTTGATGCTTGTATAAGGAAATATATGCTGGAAATGGATATTGTAACAATCAATTAATATTATTATCAATGTTACTATCAATCAAATTTCACTATTAGATCAATTATGTTGATCCAATGATTATATTTATTTTTATCTTTATATAGTTATGATTCTCATATTCAATACTTTATATTTATTTTTACCTTTGTATGGTTATGATTTTTCATATTTAATGTTTTCATATTATATATGGGAAATCATAATCATACAACGATGGAAATAAAATAAGTATATAACCGTTGAATCAACATAATTGATCTAACGGTGAAATTGATTGGTAGTAACGTTGGTAATAACACTAATTGATTGTTACAATATCGTACCCCAATATATATTTCCTATTTACTTTTATCTGCTGAAAATGATAACATTTTTGTTTTATTTTCTTGGTGAATAGCACAATCATTCTGATATAACAAGGATGATGATGATGATGATTGTTTTTTCCCTTTACTTATCTTTTATAGGGATGGATTTTTTACGTATTTTTTTACATGACCAAAAAGGGATATAAAAAATTAATTTAACCCAAAATAAGGTCTTAGATGATGACTTTTTTAATAGTTTATAGTATTCTCTAATATACCTCTCACATAAGAGCTCTTTAGGCTTGAAGCGTGAATATTCACAGGTCCATTTTTTTGATTTTACCTTGTGCTTATTTAATTTCACTTAAAAATGGGACAGTGAGAATCGAACTCATGGCTTTGTGGTCACAGTTCTGATACCATGTAAAGAACCAATTCAATCCAAAATTTTAAAGTAAGACACAATAAACCAGAAATAAATAAAAAATATAGAAGATAATTTTTACGTCACAAAATACTCTACCATTATTTTATTTTTTTTGTTGTAAACTAACTCTGTTGGTTTAGACTAACTTAAATTTAAAAGTTGACTAAAATTAATTAAGTTAATCGACTTAATTTATATATCAGGTCCAAATCAAACTAAACTAAATTAGTGAAATCCAATCATTTATCATTCGAATTTCAGAGCTTCGTGATTTGAAAGTATTTTATGAACCCAAGTGTGGTGGCTCAGTTGGTAGCATGGAGACTAAGTGGTAGGAGAAGACCTCGATTCGAATTCCACCAATACTATTTGGAGAGAGGCATAAGTACCGTAATTTTTGGACTCGCACCCGAACTCTGGATTAGTCCCATAGGCGATTCAAAGAGTCGAACCCGTAAGGATACCGAGGGATTCTGATTCGCCTCAAAGAGGTAATTAGGATCAGTTACAAAAAAAAAAAAAAGTATTTTATGTGATTAGGGACATTATGTAGAATTAATCCAAAAATTATATGAAATTTATAACATCAATAATTAAATATACATATTTGTGTTTGCCGTAAGTGGAAGAATAAGAAAATATCAAAGGCACTGGACACATAGATCATGTTAAACAAAGTCTTCTCCTATTACTTCTCAGATTCAGACAGGCAAATATCAATGGGGCAATCTCAGAATGACAAAGTCTCAAAAAAGTTGTTTTAAACCTAATAGGACTTCCTTAGTGGAAGGTGACCTAACAACAAATATAATTATTTACATAATAACCCTCTCATTATGAGTTATTAAGTAATGGCCTACACTTTTCCTATAGTCACATTTTATAGAAAAAATTAATGCTCACACCCTGAATAAATACTTTGATCACATCCAACAATGAAATAAATTGTGCTTTTCTCTTAGAAATTAAATGATCATATCATCAGCTTACTTTTATAAAAACAAAATTAACAATTAATGATAACCCACAAAAGAAAATTTCTAACACGTTCCTCTAAACTTTCAAGTTCAGTCTAACAAAATTTCATTGTTGAATTTGTCGAAGTAGATAAAAAAAACAAAAAAACTTGTCTATTCTCTCTCCTTCATTTCTCTCTCACAGTTGTAGCTTTTCTTCTTTATTTTGTTGTTGTTGCTCTCTCCTAACAAATCTCCCCCCCTCTATACCCATGAAAGAGAAATCATGACCTGACATGATGAACCCAAGGGTCTCAATCTCGAAATTGTCATGGAAACATGCCTCTGAACAATAGTAACGCGCACGAGATGAGGTCCTATATTTTTGCTTTCTAAGATCGTTTCAATGGCTTTTTAGGGATATTTTTATCTTGGTGGTAGATTTTGTAATTTATAACTACTTATTTTATTTTGTTAGTTGTTGATTTTCTAAACATTTTAATGTTTTTTCAAGAATTAGGGTGTTATGATCCCAAGGTATGGCGGGAGAAATTAGTTTAAAGAATAATTGCTTTGAACCAAAAAACAAGTAACAATTATAATACATGCTTATCCAATGCTTAGCATTGGCAACGTTAACAGGTATGGAATACAGTTAAATGAACATGATATAAATTTTCCGGGGAATTTTATCTTAGATATTCTCTGTTCTGATACACATCTGAATCCTAATGTTGAATATGCAATAATGGCAATGACCATACCCAATGGCTCCGAGTAAACCCACTATAAACGTAGGGCTCTAAGACTCTCGAGTATCCTCCAGTCCTATGAAATGAACACCATTTTTCACATTAAGTTCCACAAATCAGTAAGGAACAAACAAGAAAATTAGGTTCTCAAAAGGACGTCGAGGGTTAGGGGAGGCAGGGAGTGGACACTAATTTGACACATCAAATACAAGAATTTATACACTTACCACACATTGATCTCTAATGGGATAGGTATTATACAAGTATCAGCGGGTCCTAGGTTAACTTCAATAAATAATTATTACCAAACTACAATAATTGCCATCCTACATCATGCCTAATGCACAAAAACCATGCTGTCATAATACAAGAGAAGTAATGCTCTCCCATAATGCCTCTGCTCATTGTACAAAGTAGCAGAGATCCTCCCATCATTCCCGATCCATTGATTGAGCATGTGAGAAATGGTGTCCAGCTCCATCTGTATAAACAACAAAAACTTCAAGGTGAGTTGAGAACTGATAGCACTTTTATATTAGCAGTGTGGTAAATTGCATTTTCATGTTTTATTGACATTACTTCTTTTATTTCTTTTACATCGCCATCCTTTAGTAACACTATTTCTTTTGATGTGCCTATTTGGTTACTTAGGCTAATATGAATGACGATTTTTTTATTGAAACTTTGTTTATTGTTCATCTGTTTATGGTACAAAATTTTAAAACTATTAGGATTATTAATTGTGTTTTTGCACACTTTTTATGTATTTTCATTCTAGCTTCTGTTTTTAGTGGAGCAGCCACTCCGCAATTTGCTATACCTCTAGCATTTATGGGGTTGACCACTCCACAACACTAGCTGCATTTATGGGGTTTAGAAGACTATCTATGTAAAGACAAAGCCCAGAATACTGCAATAAGGTATGAAAACCAAGAATTACCACTTTCACCATCAGAAAGATCACCAATTCTTGCAATTGCATCAATAAGAGCCTGCTCATGATCCTGCATTGAATTACATATAGATCAGGTATATATACAAAATTTGCAAGAAAATCAAATAAGTTATTAGTTAGAAGTACATTTAATGGCAAAGGAAATATAACTGTCCCCTTACCTTCAATACTTTCTTGGCTTTCTCAACTTCAAGGGGATCAGGATGATTTGCACTGAATACCCTCTCCACCTGTCGGTTCCGCCAGAAAATTAAATATTTGGAAACAAAAAATCAATTAATCTCAATCAAACAATGTTCTGATTGAACTGTTTTCAGTTACCTCCTTGATTAGTGTGTCTGTGTGAAGTATTTGTATATCATCTGGAGCCTTCTTTCCTACGCCATTCTGTGATGACAAAAAATCTTTTCTGGATTGCCCCTGTTTAGCTCCTCTACCTCTTCCAGCCCCTGGAGCACTATCACGTCCTACAGACCTATTCATCCCATGAGCAGAGCCCCCAAAACCCCCACGATGATTGATTCCTGGATCCTCACCAACCCACTGAATATCTTCAGGAGATATCTGCAGTTAAAATACTGCATCTGAATTAGCAAAAACAATATATCATTAACAAGTACTTAACGTATCAACAGCAAGAGAATCATTTTTAAAACAATCCCAAAAATGAACTCAAGTGAGAAAGGGCTGAAAATATTCAGCGCTTGAGGTTACTGACTTATTCAACAGCAACCATATCCTTATCTAACTCACTAAATGAAAATTCCCTTTACGACATTCCCATTCATTATATTAATTGTTCAAAATTTAAAACGAAAATCATTTCAAAGATTGCAAATTCATTGCTTAATTTGTCTTCATCATAACTTAAGCACTGAATAGGTGCTGGCATTTTCTGTTCTACCAAAAATATCTGAACTAATTTGAAAATGGAAGCAAAAGTCTTAGCAACCAAAAACAAAACACCATAAAGAAGCAGAGTTGTCAATGGTGGCTGCTATAGCACTGGAGTGGGGTAGGTTAGAGCTCCTTGACACCCAGTTGGCTGTCACATGCCATTTCAGTGTGGCGGTCATCTCAGTAAAGGATAGCAGCCAATGCAGCTGCATTAGTGAATGAGTAGGTGAAAACCCTAATTTTGTTTTTGGGTGTAAGGAATTCCCTAAATTACCCCCACTAAAGCACACCAGCCAGCCCAAAATTAGGTATTCTAAGTCTCACAGGATTTTTACAAGTATTCTTCAATCCAGTACAGACAACCTCTAATTCTGCTCTGTTTGGGGATTTTGTTAAGTTTTCAACCCAGCGCAGCCAACCACCATTTTGCACTCCGTTTAGACTTTTAATCTCTCCTCTACACACAACCAGCCTCATCCATGACCAATCCACCATTTTTGCACTAGCCAGCCTATGTTTCACACACGGTAGTGAATGCCAGAATGCATTGTCGCGAGAGGTCAGCCTTAAAAACACTAGTAGTTGCGGCCGCAATAGCGAAGATTAAAAATACTTAGAAAAATGTTTAAATTTAAAAACAATAAAATTTTATACATAAACAAATAAATAAAAAAAAAACTTTAATACTCAATTTAAGAAGAATTCATCATTTAACTTTGCCTAAGTGTTATAAAAAACTTAAAAGTACCAATATCAAGGGCAAAAAGAATAGATAAAAGGAGATTTATGGGGAAAACAGGAAAATTTCATTGATAAGGAAAATAGAGTGCAAACAACAACTGTTGTTCACGATTTTGAGAGCCTGGTCTCTCCCCACAACTCAAATCTAATATCACAGTGCCTCCCTCTCTGCCCTTTGTTTCCTTTTATCCTAATGCTGACCTTAGAGGAGTATCCTCCCAAATCTTGAAATCCTAACTGCTGTGTCTAATAATATCCTCTAAAATCAAGTTACTCTATCTACTATATCTAACCATATCAATTAATATCAATCATATCAATTAGTAACAAGTAACCCTATCTGATACACCTAACAATATAAATAATATCCGGTAACTATAAGTAATATATCTAACAATATCAATTAAATATAATCACCATTGCTTTTTTTACAAAGTTATTTTTCTAGCTTCCGAGAAAAGCATTTAAACAACTTTTTTTCCAAGTTTTTCCTTTCTATTTTGAAAAAATTATCAAAACTATTATAAAAAATTTTAAACATTTTTATGGAAAAAAAAAACCCTGAATATCAATTTTTAATTTGTTATGATTGCAAACTTAGAGACAAAATGAGTATTCTGCTAACACATACATAGGTAAACACTTTTAGGGTTCAAGAGGAGACGTCTAGAAATAAAATCCAAAAGGGATTAATGCAATGGAACACTATCAACACCTTTTTTTGGAAGGGAGAGAGCGAAAAAGTCAAAGGATGTTTGTCAGTTCTCTTACTGCCTGATTTCAATTTCAAGGTTGTTAAAAACCAATTCCGAGAATTTTTTACAGCGATAATTCAGTAAGGATAAATTAGTGCGAAAAAAGTGTAGATTATAAGAAAAATATGCAAGAATTTCACTACAGGAAACAGGATAAAGCATCAGATATACCTCTGATAGATTAACCCATTCCCATGTTTCATTTGCACTCCCCATGTCATAGACCAGATTATGCCGTCCCTGAAAAGTTATGAACAAAAGTAAACATTTTAGCTTCATATTAATTTATAACAAATTCCCAGGTATTTCAGGGCTGTAATTACATCAGCTGGATTGTAGTCAGTGATAACAGCTTCATAGAAGTTATTGTCATCAGGCCATCTTGTTCGTACCCTCCTACCAATCAACGAATCAAATGATGCTCCCTCGGCGTGCTCACCCATGACAGCTCTATTAGGTACTTGATTCCTTCCACCTGGTCCTGATGAAGAATACTGCTTCATTGTAGACACACCAGGTAAAATTTGACCCTGCAAATAAAAGAACAAAAGAAACACAATAATGTTGCCAAACCCAAGCTAGTGAAGCTATACAAAGAAAAAGAGCACTAATATATTGCCTACTTACAGGTTTGTGCTTCTTTCCCTTCGATCCAGGAACAGATCCACGTTTTGCTGCTGAGGAAGACGGCTGGTGGGATGCGGTCACTGTTTGGGGATGAAATGAAGGAGTAGGCCCAGCAAAAGATCGTGATGGTACAGATGGTGTAATCTTCTGCTTTTTCCGAGATGCAGACACTGTTGGACTGGGAATTGAATCATGAAGAGCTTGACTGGTACTCAGCATGCCAGGCTGATGGCCGCCTGCCTGTCTCCACTCCCTAATGTCATTACCAACAAAGAATTGATTAACAAAACAGTGCAAATATTGCAATTTATGACAATCCCACTTCTTCTAAAGCACAGATAGACCAACAAGAAACCTTGTTTCACAATTTTATCACACCTTATCCTCCGTATCACATCATCTGCATTGACCCGACCTAGAAGTTCTCTGTGTTCCTCATTTGATAATCTCAGTTCTTTTCTCAGCTCTGTAATCAAACTTTCTTTCTCCTGAAAAAAATGCATGTCATATAGAAGTCATTTAAACCAGATCGAACAAATTCAAAAAATATTACACTTGAAGACTATGATGCACAGACACTTCAAAAAATCTGATGTATCATATCCGACACTTCCCAACACTCCAACATGTGTTGTAGAGACTCAAAAAATAGTTCAAAGATTGCGTTGAGTTGTATTTTTAGTTCAAACTATTAGATTCGTTGGATTACGATTACCATTTTATTGAGTTTAAAATAAATATTTGAGATATTTTATGTTACTTTGCAAAATTGATGGGTAAAATAAGTTTAGCTTCATTTTTTTGTTAAATTATTGAATATTAAATATAATATATTAAAAATATTATTTAATATCAAATGTGTCCTAGCATATCAAAATCTAACATTTTTTACATTTAAAGTATCGAGTGGTCGTGTCGTGTCTCATGTAGGTGGAACATAGCTTGAAGAAACAAAACAATAAAATGTACCCAAGTAATTGCATCAGCTTGAGCTTTAAAGGCTCGTAGAACTGAACTATATGCTTCCTGCTCAAGTTGGTGAATTTGTGTTTCCATATCAATTTCACCATACATCCTGGGGTATGGAATTGAACCCACAGCAGATCTTCCATTCCCAGCAAGACGTCCTCCCCTGGGAATTCTATTTTGATGTGTTGGAGGAAGATCATCATCAGTTCCTGTCAAACATTACAACGGAGTTGAAAAATTAACCATGTTTTTTCAATGCTGGTTAAAAAAATTAATCACATGCACAAGAAATGCATTGCAACTAATACACTTTTGTGCATAAAGAATTGAATTATGAACTATATAACATTACGACACAATCAACAAACAACTAAACAATCAACTAGATGCTACTGTTTTGGGGGGGTTTGGGGGAATTCATATACGAAATCACCGAATTCTCGCCATGGAATGGATGGAGTCGTCTCTTTATAAGATTAAGAAATTCAAAATAAAAATTTATAATTTCCCCATAAAATTAAAAACTAAAAGATTGAAGCAAAGAAAAGAAAACGAAAGAGAAACCCTAACCCTAACCCTAACGATAGGAAGAGGTAGTTGAAAGTGAATAAAGGAAGGAACTTTAGGGGAAAGTTCAGCTCACCGCTACTGTCGTAGGGCTCGTAGTCCATAGCCAGTTTGCAACCTCACAGATCCACACAAAGAGGTAGAATCAGGTGAGGGCGGGTGCAACCACGAACAATGGTCTTTTCTTAGCGTCGTTTATGAGAACCCAAGAAGATGAAGGAAAAAGAACAAGAAGATGAAGAAAAAGAACAAGAAGACGAGAATAAGGGTTTGGTTTGTGTTTCGTTGCGGTGTTTTGTCGGAGAGAATTTGAGTATGAGATCGCGGCGGGTCAACTCGGACTCCGACTCGGACACTCAGACAGCGTTAGAAAAGAATTTGAGAAATCTAAGTTCGAAGGGAATTCAAAATTTCAATTCATAATTCGTTTTCAGTTCCGCTGTCTCTCACTTATATTATTTAAAAAAAAAAATATTAAGGGTGGGCGAAAATTTATTACAATATTTTATTTTTTCCAAAAGAAAAGAAAAAAACTTATTTCGTTCTTCAAAAAGATTTATTAATTTAGCTTCTAAAACATTTGTTCTTTTTAATTACCTGAATGGTGGTCTGTGTATGCTTCTCCAGTTTCGTATGATGATGAAGGACGATTCCTTTTTGCCATGATAGGTACTTGCAAATCCTTGGATGCTCGAGTGAAGTAGTTAAGTCTGCATGAAGAAAGCAATTAGGACATAGTAATATATAAGGGTAAAGACCTTGTATTTATGTTATCAAAAAAAAAAAAAAAAAAAGACCTTATATTTATATTAGAATTAGGAGGCAATCCGCAATCATCTATTGCTATGATTGTGGGATTTGTGAAATCCATTTAGAAGATATTCAATTGATTTAAAAAAAAAAAAAAAACTGAGATAGTATCGATCTAAAACAATATTAATTTTATTGATTTAATTTTTAAAAATTTAGACTTTTAATACCGGTAAAAGATTTTGAATTGATTTAGTCGGATAACGGTAAATAATCATTCTCAAGAAGATTGAAATAGGATTTAGGGAATTGGTGAGCCTAATCTATATCTTACTCTATAGAAAGGAGAACTAAACTTTCAAAACTTTGCTAACGTGTTGCGTTCTCCTTCATTCTCAGCTTTCTGTTCACACTGAAGGATAGTTTGAAAACTTGTTTCTTTTGGAAATAATTTTTTTACCGTAAAACAAAAATTCAAAAAAAAATAAATAATCTTACAATTATTACTTATTGGTGGCAGACAATTGTATTAATGAGCTTCTCAATTCTCCATTCAACAGTTTGGATTAAATGAATTTTATCAATATCCGAATCTTATTCTCTCTTTTTTTATGTCAACAGTTTGTCGAATTAATTGATTGAATAGGGATGGGTGATTCCTAAATCAGTGGATCATTCTTACTTATTGTTGATTTTTTCTCTCTCTTAATTCATATATATTTTTCTTTATGGTTGTCTTTCGTTTAATTAGGGAATTTTTTTGAATATATATGATGCAAATGTATCCACTTGGCTTGGGTACATATTTTTATCGAATGGAGAATTTTTTTTCTATTTTTATCCTTGTTTTTTTTTATTTCCTTTCATATCTCAAAATTTTTCTTTTTTTGACGAGGATGTACATACATCCGCTGCACAGAAGATTTTCTCTTGGTTTGACATTCAGATCTTTTATTTAATTTAATTTTTGTGTCAATAAATAATTTGTCAAATTAATAGATTGAATTAGGATGAATGATTCCTAAATTAGTGGATCATTCTGCTTATTGAATATTGAATTTTTTTACTTTCAATCAATTGATATCTTTTTTACTTTCATGTATTTTATTTGATTTTATTTTGTGTAGCAAATTCAGATCTTTTATTTAATATAATTTTTCTGTCAATAAATAATTTGTCAAATTAATAGATTGAATTAGGATGAATGATTCCTAAATTAGTGGATCATTCTGCTTATTGAATATTGAATTTTTTTACTTTCAATCAATTGATATCTTTTTTACTTTCATGTATTTTATTTGATTTTATTTTGTGTAGCAAATTCAGATCTTTTATTTAATATAATTTTTCATTCAATAAATAATTTGTCAAATTAATAGATTGAATTAGGATGAATGAAAATAAAAAATCAAATATTCAATAAGCAGAATGATCCACTAATTTAGGAATCATTCATCCTAATTCAATCTATTAATTTGACAAATTATATATTGACGCAAAAATTAAATTAAATAAAAGATCTGAATGTTAAACCAAGAGAAAATCTTCTGTGCAGCGGATGTATGTACATCCTCGTCAAAAAAAGTAAAACTTTGAGATATGAAAGGAAATAAAAAAAACAAGGACAAAAATAGAAAAAAAATTCTCCATTCGATAAAAATATGTACCCAAGCCAAGTGGATACATTTGCATCATATATATTCAAAAAAATTCCCTAATTAAACGAAAGACAACCATAAAGAAAAATATATATGAATTAAGAGAGAGAAAAAATCAACAATAAGTAAGAATGATCCACTGATTTAGGAATCACCCATCCCTATTCAATCAATTAATTCGACAAACTGTTGACAGAAAAAAAAAAAAAAAAAGTGAATGAGATTTGGATATTGATAAAATTCATTTAATACAAACTGTTGACAAACTGTTGAAAGAAGAATTGAGAAGCTCATTAATACAATTGTCTGCCACCAATAAGTAATAATTGTAAGATTATTTATTTTCTTTTGAATTTTTGTTTTACGGTAAAAAAGTTATTTCCAAAAGAAGCAAGTTTTCAAACTATCCTCCAGTGTGAACAGAAAGCTGAGAATGAAGGAGAACGCAACACGTTAGCAAAGTTTTGAAAGTTTAGTTCTCCTTTCTATATAGTAAGATTAATAGATTGAATTAGGATGAATGATTCCTAAATTAGTGGATCATTCTGCTTATTGAATATTGAATTTTTTTACTTTCAAACAATTGATATCTTTTTTACTTTCATGTATTTTATTTAATTTTATTTTGTGTATCAAATTCAGATCTTTTATTAAATATAATTTTTCTGTCAATAAATAATTTGTCAAATTAATAGATTGAATTAGGATGAATGATTCCTAAATTAGTGGATCATTCTGCTTATTGAATATTGAATTTTTTTACTTTCAATCAATTGATATCTTTTTTATTTTCATGTATATTTATGAAAATAAAATACATGAAAATAAAAAATTCAATATTCAATAAGCAGAATGATCCACTAATTTAGGAATCATTCATCCTAATTCAATCTATTAATTTGACAAATTATTTATTGACACAAAAATTAAATTAAATAAAAGATCTGAATGTTAAACCAAGAGAAAATCTTTTGTGCAGCGGATGTATGTACATCCTCGTCAAAAAAGTAAAATTTTGAGATATGAAAGGAAATAAAAAAAAAACAAGGATAAAAATAGAAAAAAAAAATCTCCATTCGATAAAAATATGTACCCAAGCCAAGTGGATACATTTGCATCATATATATATTCAAAAAAATTCCCTAATTAAACGAAAGACAACCATAAAGAAAAATATATATGAATTAAGAGAGAGAAAAAATCAACAATAAGTAACCACCTGAAACGTGTCTTCCTTAGGCCTAATATATATGAATTAAACAGACGTGTTCAGACACGTACCTAGTACAGACGTGTTCAGATTTGTCAGAAACGCGCATGTGTCAGTTGCGCGACTAAACGCGTAACCACCTGAAACGTGTCTTCCTGCATTAGTCCGGTAAAACGTTTGGTCAACGAACTAAACATGTGGATTTTTTTGAAATTTGCATTTTTTTGGTCAAAAACCCTAATATATTAGGTCATATCTAACTTGATATCAAAATAAATCATTTCAACTTTCATGTTAATTTTTTTTTTTTGACATAGACCAGACCACAAATCCCTGACTTATTTACATTTCTAATTATGCCGCTAAACGTAGGATTCCACATGCACAAGTATTGCTTGGCCCTTGGCAAATTCAATATGATAGAAACTTAGTTATCACCATATAAATGACACATTATAGAGAGATATTGGCCTGAATTAAGACACACATTCAATACCCTCCACCTTAGCAGTCAAAGGGATAAGTGTCTGATTCACCTCCCTTATCTTGCTAACAAAATTGCAAATGGAATTGTAAAATGTATCCGATTAGCTTTTAAGTATATTTGCATGGAGGCCAAGCAACCCAAGGGGCCTTAAAGTTCTTAATGCCAAACAAAGTGATTGATTTCCTCCTCCATCATTCCACTTTTAAATAGCATAAAGCTCAAAGACTCTAAGGGGACGTTTGGTAGAGGAGAAAATTTTGTTAACTAGGTAAATACAATTACCAGAGAAATAATGGGTAAAGAAATTTACTGGTAAAGTTAAAAAGTTATTTGGCAGGACGAAATATTACCGGATAAATTAAGTAAGTTTTCAAAATCTATGTTTGGTAAAAAGTAAAATATTGATGGGATAATTTGTTAAATTACCAAAGTGTCATTTTGAACGAAATCATCACTGACATTGAACAGTAAACAAGGGTCATTTTGAACAATACTTTGGCGCTCTTTTTTTTCTTTCCAGTAAACCACCAATTACCTCCAAAAAAGTGGGTATTAAGAACAGTGTCAGCATCTCATTTTTACACATGATTCATGTTGCCTGGGTATGGCATTTTGCTAGCATATTTTTTGGGAGCCTTCTACCAAACGTTGACAAGCTCAATTCCCTATCTAATTTGCCTAGCCATTTATTACAAAGACAGCTACCGAACGCCCCCTAAGGGGGGGTTTGGTACAGGAGAAATGTTTTTTAATACGGGAAATAATTATTACTGGAATATAATGGGAAATATATTTTACTGGAATGTTACTAAAAAGCTGTTTGGTATGCCAAAATTTATCCGGGAATATTTGGTGAATTTTACTGATGCTATGTTTGGTTGATGATAAAATATTGATGAGAATATTATGTAAATGACAAAATTACCCTTATTTTTTTGAATATTGAAATGACAAAAATTTAGTCATTAGAAACTTCATCGTCTTCCTCTCATGACTTCGTTTCTTTCTTTCCCAAGTCTTCTGCTCACCTCTCTTTTTTCCAGTAGTAAGTGAAATTAGTAAGTGAAATGGTAAGAAAATCAACCATGTTCATGCAGAAAATAAGTAATTCATTGAATCTGTCATTATGAACTCCATTCATTCACTGTTCGTACAAAAAGTGAGGGTTACTTTGGTCCACAAAATTTCGTTCCTTTTTCACTTCCTCCGGCAAAAAAACATCCCACCTAATCTATGGACTTTCTAACATTTGATCTGTACACAACTTTACACATAACAAAAAATACCGAGAAAAATTTATACTCT